ATGAAAAGAAAAAACAGAATAAAACTAATGCTTTTAGTGTGATTTTTCTTAATAGTGATTTCGACAAAGATAATTGGTATATTGATTCTGCTGCAAGTAACCATGTAACTTCCAAAGAAGATTGGATTATAAACAAAACAGAATCAAATATTAAATAAATAATTGTTGCAAATAATGAAAAATTGTTGGTGAAATGTTCAGGTCAAGTGAATATCAAAACTGACGTTCACAAAAAGACGTTTGAAGTCGATGTGAAGGACATTTTCTATGTACCAAAACTTACAACCAATTTATTATCTATTGGACAATTGACAAAAAATGGTAATCATGTCATCTTCGATGAAAATGGTTGTCGTGTTTTCAATAGTTCAGATGAACTGGTTGCAACAGCAATTTTAATCAACAATATGTACCGGGTGTCCAAATAAGAAAGGTCGCCGACTATATCTCAGGAACTATTAGTCTTAGAGTTTCCAAATAAAAAAAAAATTCATAAAATAGGCCATGAAAAATTGCTGGAAATAGTTTTCAAGTTTATAAGTTCACCGCTAGGGGGCGTAACGAACACTCGAAAACATAAAACTGCGATTATCTTCAAAAAACGCCTACTTAAGGTATCCTGAAAATATGATTATTGAAATCTTGATGAAATTACGAAAAAATTTTGTTCAGGATTTTTTTCCTTAACTCTTCAATAAGAGGTAGAAGAAGATTCAAACTTGTTAGGTCCGGTTGTATAAACACAGGTTAGGACTTAATCTCAGTTTATTTGTTGGTTATGTTGTACCAGTGCGAGTTAAGGCAAAACTTTAGTTTAAATACTTTGGTTAGTTAACCACAGGAATTTGGGAAGTTATCTCTATAACTTCAGGTTAATAAATTATTTTGGTATGTTTTCTGAGGTTATGTGAATTTGAATTATCTTGCTTGCATTGCAAATTTTGTAATATTGCAACTGTGTTTTCTTATTATCAGCTAATAGGTACCTAGACATGAATTTGAATCAAGAACTCGATGATTTCACCGACGATGAAGATTTTAATGAATTAATCAACATGTACCTTCATCCCAGGCGGCAAAGAGTATTTCGAGACAGAAGAAATAATTTTGAAAAGTGGAATGAAACTGAATTTCTACAAAGGTTTAGACTATCTAAACATACATCATCATTAATTATCGAAGAACTTACTCCTTACATAGAAAATGAGACGCTTAGGTAAGTGCAAAATATTCTTTTAATTGCCTAATATGTAAAATATACTCCAAGACCGAGCCTGCGGAGTTCGGTTGATCTTAAATGAAGTGCAATATATTAATTTTTTAGGAATCATGCATTGACACCAACTGAAAAAGTATTGGCAACATTACGTTTCCTTGCCACAGGTTCCACCTTACAAGTGACTGGAGATTTTAGTGGTTTCGATAAGGGTACAGGAAGCAGGGTTATTTATCAATGCTTAGCTGCTATAGCAAGACTTCGACCCATGTACATAAAAATGCCACACACTGAAGAAGAGAAAGATCATGTGAAACAGGGATTTTATAGGATAAGTCGTTTTCCCCAGGGTATTGGAGCATTAGATTGCACTCATATACGGATACAGGTAATCAAACATTTGTAAGCTATAACCACAAAAAACTAAACAGAATTTTTTGTTAGTATAATTTGTAAGCAATAGAAGGTGGCCAAGCCATTATGCATCTTCTACTCTTTTCCGTAAAATAGTATTTTATTTTTAGACACCTGGTGGGCCCAATGCTGAAATATTCTGTAATCGGAAAGGTTTTTTTTCATACAACGTTCAAGCTGTGTGTGACAGTAATTTAATGTTTCAAGATATAGTGTGTAGATGGCAAGGATCAGCCCATGATTCTACCATATTCAATAACTCAGGCCTGAGACTAGATTTTGAAAATGGTATTTATGGAGGTAATACATTGCTTGTTGCTGACAGTGGCTACCCTTTAAGAAGCTATCTTATGACACCCCTGCTTCAGCCAGGAACTCCAGCCGAATTTTTGTATAATGAATCCCAAATCAGGAAACGTAACGCAATTGAAAGAAGTTTTGGGGTATGGAAGAGAAGATTCCCAATATTATCACTGGGAATAAAATTGTCGTATGAGAAAGTTGAAGCTGTAGTAGTAGCCGCAGCTGTATTGCACAATATAGCAATATTAGAAAAAGATGAAGTTCCAGCAATAAATGAAGAAATTAAAGCTGGAATTTTGTTAGGAAATATTAATGAAAATTATGGAGGACGAAGGATTTTACAAAATGAAATTATTCGTTATAGACTTATAAATCAATGTTTTCAAAATTTAATTGCAAATTAAATTTATGTACCTACTTCTTTTGGTTACCTTAGGAACTTTTAAAATGAGAGATGTTGTATTGATTACCTAATAAATTTAATGAAAGAAACTCAAAACAATAATACTCCTATATAATAGTAAATACTCACAAATATCATATTTTTTATTTCAGATATTAATTCTCAACTAACTCTAATATGTACAGGGTGGCCCATTTTTGATGTTTTAATAGGCTATATCGAAAACCAGCAGAGATATCAAAAATCTGAGAGCACATTCTCAAGCTCTTTTTATGAGAAAATAACAATGGAAAAAACAAATCACGGCTAACTTGATGCGTTAAGGAAATACAGGGCACTTTTCAAATTTTGTCCAATTTTAAAAAACTCTCTAATTTCCTTATTATTCAAGATATCCAAAAACGGAAAATACTTTCTAGGGGCAGTTTTTCAAGGAAAATCCAGTGGCATGACCAATTTTTTTTCAGATGCCACCGATTTTGGAATATTAACCAAAGTTTTGTTTTTTTAAATGGAACACCCCGTATATTATTTTTTTATTGTGAGCTGATTTCAATGATATAAGGTTTTATACCTTTATCTCCAATAGTTTTGGAGAAAAAAAATAAATTCCGTTTTTTCCATAAGAAACAATGAGTTAGAAAGAGATAGTTGAACTATGAATCGGCTACAAATTTCTTAATTCTTAATTTAATTTTTCAGTTCAGCTAATTTTTTTTTAATTTGAACTATGAATCGGGGGTGATAAATAGGCAACACATAATTTATTTAATGACTTATCTCTCTCTAGCTCATTGTTTCTTATGGAAAAACGGAATTAATTTTTTTTCTCCAAAACTATAGAAGGTAAAGGTATAAAACCTTATATCATTGAAATCAGCTCACAAAGAGCTATTCAATGAAAAAATAATATACGGGGTGTCCCATTTAAAAAAACACAACTTTGGTCAATATTCCAAAATCGGTGGTATCTGGAAAAAAATTGGTCATGCCACTGGATTCTCCTTGAGAAACTGCCTATAGAAAGTATTTTTCGTTTTTGGATATCTTGAATAAGGAAATTAGAGAGTCTTTTAAAATTGGACAAAATTTGAAAAGTGCCCTATATTTTCTAAACGCATCAAGTTAGTCGTGATTTATCTTCGCCATTGTTATTTTCTCAAAAAAAGAGCTCGAGAATATGCTCCCAGATTTTTGATATCTCTGCTGGTTTTCGATATAGCCTATTAAAACATCGAAAATGGGCCACCCTGTACAGGGAATATATTATACAGAAATATATTTTTTTATGTACAAGAAAACTTTATTTGGTATCTATTTTTTTTTAGCTATTTCTATCTATCTATCTCATTTATTTGAAAAGATATCAAAAACTTTTTATACAACGGTCTCAGGGTTTTCATCGGAGTTATTGGTTGGATGGATTTAAGTTACAAAAGTAATATTTTTTTAAATAAGACACATGTATATTTTGTGTTGAAATTAAAGACCATTGCCTCTTGATTCAAAAAATACCATATTTTATGGGTCCATCTCTATAAACGGTTGTCCAGACATGCGGATGTAAACCGGCCATATGAATTTCTAACAATCCAATGTATGTTTTTTGTTCTCTCTTCTGCACATTGTTCTTATGACAGCTTTACAGCTGTATCTAGACAGTCATTTAAACATACACCATTTCAACATCAATTTCGGAAAAAGTAACTTTTATTTAGGAAAATGTCAAGTCATTTCCGGAAAAAGTCAAATTAATTGCAGAAAAAGTAAAGTTAATTTCGGAAAAAGTAAATTCAAATTCGGAAAAAGTAAATTCAAATTCGGCAAAAGTAAGCGATGAATGAATTTACATTTTCCGAATTTGAATTTCCTCTTTCCGAAATTAACTTTACTTTTTCCGAAATTACCATTACCTTTTTTGAAATTGATTTGAGTTTTTCCGGAAATGACTTGACATTTTCCTAAATAAAAGTTACTTTTTCCGAAATTGAGGTTGAAATGGTGTAGACCAGTCACGTGGTATTTTTGGGATCCGGAGAAAAGGTTCTTCAATTCTAATACAAAATATATAGGGTGTCCCATTTTTAAAAAAATGTAAAGTTTTTTTTACATCTTTCTAGATAAATGAAATGGATGGAGGTGCTGAAAATATAACCACTGCACCAAAAGGAACAGGAATATTTCACCTTTCTAAATAAAACTACTTTGGACCTAATATTCTCATCATACGTTCTTGTTTCATGTGTTGGAGCTCTAATGCATTTTTTTTTTTTCAAGATGATCCATTTTTTTTCTTATGTTCCTCCTCATAGCATTTTATTTGGAAGTCTACCAAGTTAGACTTTGACTCTGCCCACTTGCTTAATTTTTGTTTTAAAGGGTCAGGTCAGATTTCAATAGAAAACACTAGCTTCACTTGGACAAATACAACTAAGGTGCCTCATGAGCTCGATTTTTGAGAAATTTCAAATGCTTTGTTCCAATCTTTTACTATTCAACAGATACGAAGATGATTTTTTTTGCTCCGTTAATAAAAGCTTATAACTATTGAAAATCACCTAACAACAGGCTCCATTCAACCCAATTTTTTCATGTTACCTGCCAAAGTTTTGTCAGTTTCAGCCCTAATCTTAAGGCCTTAATTCCGAACAATAGGAAACTTACGCTTTTTGCTTTTTTCCTCAGCTTCAGTTTTCTGTGATTGCAATGGCCTCAGTAATAGCTTTTCATGTGAAGTGGTATTATTTTCTAAATTTGGTTTAAGTACCTTGGATACTGGTTTTTTTAACACTTTCCATTGTGATTCTTGGAAATACAGAAAAAATTAAAAATGTATGTGAATTTTTCCCAATATCCTTACTCACCTGTATCGTAATTATTCTGTGTTTTCACACTCTGACTACTCCGACGTTGGGAGATAGGTGTATCCACCACGTGAAAGGAATTTGCATCTAGAAAGGTCATGCTTCATTAAGAAATAGAATAAAACTGAAGTAAACCATCTGTAGTTGTTTCTTAAGTTTCCCATTGCAAAGTGGAATAATCTAAGAAAACTACACCAAGCCTTATCTATTTTTATATTTTAAAGATTATAGAGAAATACAGATTATCAACAATACTAAACAATTACTTACTGTCGTCACAAACAAAAAAGTCAGTATTTTCACTTCCTTCATGCTCTTCCAGTTCTTCATATCCTGTGTTATCAACTAGCTCTTTGAGGATACCAGACTTTGGAGCTATTTCACGTACTAAAATATTAATTTCTAGTGTAATACCTATTAGGCATATTATCTAATAAATTGATTGAAATATGCAATAAAGGAAGTTAAGGACATTTATTTATCAAATACTTACGATTTTCCTTCAAGTTTCCACTTACAGTAGATTCCTCATTAATTTCCTCGGTAATTTCATAATATTCAATATTATCTTCATTATTATCTGATTCCAATATTATAACGTACTTATTTTGGCAATTGCCTGATTATACTGCTACGGCTAGCCAGCTTCAGTTCGGAGGCCATGGGTCTATGGGTTCCTTGTATACACCTTACCTTTGGACGCCACCAAGTTAATTGTGACTTAACTAGGAAGATAACTTAATGATGTTATAAACAAAACCTGTGCAATTGGAGAGCTTATCAATAAAACAACTAATTAGGTACAATAATGTACAGGCCCCGCAACATAAGGTGGCGAGAGCTGGCGCAGGTAGGCGTAGCGGTGGGTCCCTTTTCTTGGCCCAGGCGAAGCTAAAATACAAACCTTTTCCATTATCAGGGGCGTCGCTAATTGGTATGACGATATGGACAATACAAATAAATTATCATATTGTACCTACACACCACTGTTCCCCATGCATTTACCGAGGGTAGGGTTTACAGTTCAGTTTACGCCCCTACCATTTCCGAATTTTGTCTAGTGCGCAAATTGCTTTTTCGCCACCTTATGTTGCGGGGCCTGTATCTGGCTTCTTTATTAAAAATAATAACAAAATATAGGGATAGCCAGGAGGTTATTAGAAATGTGTTTGGAATAATGCTTGTACCAATTTATAAATATTTGATTATAAAAAAAAAAATGAATGTAAATAATGCATATATAAATATGAATTTTAAATAAACATGACTAAAAATCTTTTGGTATTTACACTTGTGAGATAAGAAAAATTCAGTATGGGTTACACTTTACCATCAGGCAAATTAAACACAGAAAGGTGAAAGTTATAGTTAGGGCAACCTCAGGGTAAAATTCTAGAATTTTATTTAAGGGGCACTTACCGAACCTGATTTAGTATCAAGTGATTTACATAGGATTTGCCTATATAGTAAAAGGTGTAACTTACATGTGATACAAGTGTTTGTTATCTTCACATGTAATGTGTAAGTCCAGAAGTTCCAAAAGTGAGGTTAGCTACATGTTTGGTCTCACTGTGGATAGACGATGGTATGATAAGTGAGTCATGAGTCCTATCCACGTGGTATCTGTTTAACGTAGAACTCAATGTGGTTCTAGCAGAGCGGTACCAAGAGAGTTGCTGAAGAATGGCTACCAAAACCCCAACTGAGAGCAATCCAGATCCAGTCTAGAATCTCTCTAAATACAGCTTAGCAACTGTCCAACTATAGTCTGAGACTAGGATTGTCCAACTATAGCCTAAGAGTAGGATTGTCCAACTATAGCCTAAGAGTAGGATTGTCCAACTATAGCCTGAGACTGGGATTGTCCAACTATAGCCTGAGACTAGGATTGTCCAACTATAGCCTGAGTCTAGGATTGTCCAACTATAGCCTGAGACTAGGACCCTATAACGATGTTCGTATAAAAAAACGAATCGAGCCCCAAATATTAGAAATAATCTTACCTCAAATTGAGGGATACTCTAGACCAAAGGTGAAGTCTTAAACTTCCAAATGCTGCTCGAAACAGTCCTATTAAAACAAAATGGAACACGTGTTGTAGGTTAATATTTCCTGAAGAAAATCTCAAACTTACCGAAACAGAATCCAAAAATGACCAAGGGACGACTCTAGCCAATTATCAGCAAGAAATTAGTCTAAAACTTGAGCTCCCTGGCACCAAATTCCAAAAAGTCTCGCCCCAAAAACAATTAGGGCCGAGGCCCGAGACCGGACGACTACTCAGCGTGAGGTCGCAGATCAAAAGGGGCAGATTCTTCATTTCGATTTCGAAAGAAGACTTTCATCTGTCAAACTTCTAATTTTGACATTGAAGAAAATTATACGAAAGGACGTGTTCAGTTTCACCCCAAACGTACGAACTGAGAATTGGTTGTGTAAAAAATGACTGGTGAATGTTGAAAAGTGCCTATAGAACATATATCAAAAGGTAGAACAGGTCTAAAGAAAACGCCTAGACAAAACAGCTGTTCAATGACATGATGGAAATGAAAAGTCAAAGGATTTGCAAACAGAGATGGTGATGGTACTAACTCCTTTTCCTAAGATTCTAATCAATAACAGCGGGCCCTGCCGTACTGAATCAAACCTTCCCAGATCAATTAACCAAACTTGCAAACCTGAACCAAAAAAACTTCTAGTAGAAGGCAGCACTAAAGGTATTCATTTATTTCATTGTAACTCTATATGGAATCATATCCAGTATGGCAAAACAAGGTAGCTTATTAGCCAAGAAATTGAAAACGTTACAATATTACTGAAATATTCACAAGTAATAAATAAATAAATAATGACTTCATTTTATAATTTGGAAATCCTAAAATACTGTATGTCAGTTTACTATGTACCTTCCGATTGGATTCCTTGGTCTAGGACATTTTCGAGGGCATTTTCATCCAAGTCATTATCAAAGTTAGATCGCCTTCCAGTAACTTGGGACCCTAAAATTTCCCGTATATCTTCATCGACAGTGGAAGTCTTTGGAGTTGAAAATGGCCCACCACCCGTTCCCATTTTAATTTTTTTCTCTTCTGCAAAGTTTTTTTTGCACTGTTTTTTTAAATTTAGGTATTTAGTTTTCAATTGCTCAGCAGCTCTATAATTTTGTGAATTGGAATTGAAGCAATTGGCAACTTTTTTCCAGGCTGCATTTTTTTCCTTATTAGACACTGCATCGGTCTTTTTGCATTCTATTATGTTAGTAAATTTTTTCACGCTTTCAATTAAAAGTTTTTCTTCAGACTTACTGAAATTTTCAGTCCTTTTTCTTTTACTTGTCTCCATTTCCATCATCGAACTGTTCAGTGTTCATTGTTGGCTATAACTTTTTTATAACTAAATTATGCACAACAACTTCAAATCAAATAAACCGGCACCGAACACGAATCAAACAAATTACAAAATTTTTAAACAAAGTTTTAATAAACTCTGGTTAATTTAGTGTTTATACAACTGGGCCTTAGGAACAAAAGTTATATAACTTTTTGTTTTTCATCCGATTTGAATGAATCGGGTGTCATTTGGAAGATTTTTTTCTGTTCAATAAACTGCATAACAAAAATAACAAAATTAAATTGTTTTGTTGCCACTAGAGGGCACTGTGTCTAAAAGTCGACAATTTTCCATTTTTTCTCGAAAATTTCAAATATAATGATGCTTTTTTTATAATTTAGATCGAAAGAGGATAAAAAAATAAGGAATCTGGTGAAAACCGCAAGTCTGAATCTTTATCCTAGCCCAAAATATAAATAAACAACTATTTTCAGTAAGAAAATTTTCAGAAAAAAACCTTCTTGCCTTCCTTTTCGGGATAAAACAAAAAAAATCTTATTTTTTTACGGCACTATAAAATTAGTAAGAAGAACTACTTGTGTGTCTGAAAGTAGCTGTCAATCCACGATATCAAGAATTGAAATTGAATTGAACTATAGTTATTTACATTCCAAGCTGCGAAAGCGCACTTTTAGGTGCGAGGTATATTTAATACCTCCAAACACCTAAATAGTTATTTACATTCCGAGCTGCGAAAGCATACTTTTAGATGCGAGGTATATTCAAATAGCCGAGGCGAAGCGAAGCGCAGCCTCGGCTATTTGAATACCTCCGAGCACCTAACAGGACTTATGCAGCGCGTAATGTGTTAAACTTTTCATCCTTTCCCCTCAAAAATCGCGAATAGGTATGCGAAAGTGAAACATGCTAGTAGCGAAAGTGAAAGTAACTACTAGTATGTTTCAAAGATATGAAAATCAACTTTTGTAGGGGGGAGAGTGAAAAGGGCTTTTGTAGCGTGTAACGTATTAAACTTGTTACGTTAAAATTTTGCCTTAACGTAATTGAGAATTTCGAATAAATTCAGTAATTAATTCAGTTATTTGTGAGAATATTTATAAAGCTGTATACCTGAGGTTTAATATTTTTCAGTGATTGATAGGTTGCTCATTGAATTTTGCTAGATTTTTGCCTTTTGGTTGGATGCAAAACAATATCTGGTTGTTGATTAAAGGTATATTTTTCAAGGTAATAATGAGTGAGTTCTTTGTATTTAGAGGACAGGGTAGTTTCAGGATAATAAAGCCCTACTGGTAGGATATGAATTCACTTTATTTAGCTTTCGAAAGTTTTCTAAAAGGCCCTAAATGTCGGTGAAAAGGTTTGTTTACTTTCAAATAAATATCAATTGACAACACTTACGAATCTCGTATTTTCCTTTATCAAAATTTCTGCAACAACACAATTCACTTTAGCACACTCTAAATCGATTTTCCACCCTTATTTCCTTTACTTTTTCCATTTTCAAATGTTTATTTTCCTCAAAAATATAGTGGGGTTATATGCCACTTGTTGATTCGTGTTGGGCAGCACCGTTGCCGGCGTACTTGAACGCTGTGGGTAATATGGAGTCACTGTAACTGTGATCCCTAAACATTCACTGGTCATTTTGATGGTTTTTAGACTGAAGACTACTAGGGAGACAGCAAACGAACTATTCCCCACGCGTCCGGAGCCAGCATGGGTGCAAGAACCCATTGGGCAACACGAAATCCCGGACCTCACGAGCGACGAAATTATCAACGCAAGCCAAAGACTGAAATCCCGAAAAGCCCCTGGACTGGACGGCGTTCCAGCCGAAATCATCAAAGCGGTTGCATCTAGGAGCCCGGAACTATTCCGAGTGGCAATCGACAGTGTCATAAAGAGCGGAGAGATCCCGGCATCATGGAAGATGGCCAAACTTGTGCTCATTGCAAAGCCAAAGAAGGAAGAAACAGAGACACAGAAATACAGACCATTATGCCTACTAGACACCCCCGGCAAACTCCTGGAGCACATCATCCTCTCTAGACTCATGGAGAGTTTGGACCTTACAAAAAATCTTTCCGATAGGCAATACGGTTTCAGGCGTGGCAGATCCACTACAACAGCAATACAAAAACTCCTGGACATAGCCAGAAAAGCGATCTACAAAAAATCTCACAGACATAGGAGAATCGGCGTTGTAATAACGCTAGACATCAAGAACGCGTTCAAGTCTGCACCCTGGCCCGAAATTATCAGAGAAATCAAAAGGAGGGACACTCCTCCATACCTTGCAAGGTTACTGCAGAACTACCTTACGAACAGAAAAATAATCATAGAAGTGGATGGCAAAACGGACTCTTTGAAAATGACCTGCGGCGTGCCACAGGGGTCAATCCTGGGTCCCACACTATGGAACCTCCTCTACGACGGCCTACTCAACTTGTTATTACCCGAAGAGGTAACACTCATCGGATACGCGGACGACATTGCCCTAATAGTCCTTGCAAGAGACATGGAAGGGATACGCCAAAAAACGAATACAGCAATGATGAGAATAGAAAAATGGCTACGGAACAATAACCTTGAGCTAGCTATCGAGAAGACGGAGATCTTACTAGTCTCAGGAAAGAAACGCACGCCCGTGCTAACACTGAACATCGGAGGCAAAGAGATTACTACGAAGCCACAAATAAAATACCTAGGTGTATGGCTAGACTCTAAGCTGAGCTTTGGCACACACATACGGAAAACGGCAGCTAGGGCCAATAACACTATGACGGCACTGAGTAGACTAATGCCCAACATTTGTGGGCCACTAGCCAGCAAGAGAAGGCTAATCTGCACGGTTGGCAAATCTATCCTGTTATACGCCGCCCCGGTATGGGGCCCGGCCATGAAGAAAAAAACTAACTTACTCACCTACGAAAGACTACAGAGACAGGCTGCAATACGCATTACCAGCGCCTACCGAACCGCGTCCACGGACGCTCTCCTCGTGATCGCGCAAACTCCCCCCATAGACCTGCTAGTCGAGGAGATGATCGCGCTCTCAGAGGTTGACGCTCTTGGAAAAAACGCAGCACGAAGAACACTCAGGGAGACGCTAGAACGGAAATGGCAAGAAAGATGGCGCAACAGTACCAAGGGTAGATGGACAGCTAGACTCATTCCAGATGTAACAATATGGCTAAACAGAAAACATGGGGAAACGGATTTCTATTTGACACAGCTTCTTACTGGACATGGATGCTACAAATACTATACACTCGGCATAAATAAATCAACTGACGACGAATGCCTCTACTGCGGCGAATGTGACACCGCCGAGCACACTTTCTTCTATTGCAAACAATGGAACGAGCAAAGGGAAGCCTGTTATAATAGTACCGGAATAAGATTGACACCAGACAACGTAGTAGAAGCAATGATGGCAAAAGAGCACAATTGGAACGAGATACGCAAGATGACCCATACAATTCTCAGAACCAAAGCGGAAGACGAAAGAGCAGCACAGGCCAACCCGGAATACACATGAGTCAAGTGAAAGGCCCCCGATTGAAGTAATGCGCAAGCGGTTCCAATCGGTGTCGCCTTCTACGGTAGGGGAAGGGTTTTAGTGGGTTTGAGTCCCACACTGTTTCGTGGCGCCAGAACACCAATGCCACGATTCGTGCGAGAGCATTTCCTAATCCCTACCGAAAAAAAAAAAAAAAAAAAAAAAAAAGACTGAAGACTGAAGACTAGGTAGGTGCTGATTAATAACTTGTATAAGTGATTAATTAGTGTTAATTGATGTTAGGGAAGAGAATTTAATAACGACTTTGAGTTTTGTTGGTCATCATTGTGGTTCGGAGTGTTCTGTTTCAAGCTGATTGTGTTCCGATTCAAACTGGGTGTTCCGTCTTCCTGGTCGAGATCGGAAATCTGGCACCAGAGGACATCTTAAAGAAAAAACTGGAATTCTAGAAAAAAATTTCATATTGAAGCCTACCTAATAAATCGCTGAAAAGGGATCGTTCTCTTTTAAATTCGCACGTTGAGCAAACAACAAGTTCTTGGCAGATTCTACCAGCGGTCCTCTCGGCAACGTTCCTTGGGAACATCCACCTTTTTGTGGGATTTTGAAGACGCTGGGATTTAGTGGTTGCTGGCTTAATTGGTTTTGGGGTGAAAGCTTTGGATTTGGTCGTACCCGTATTTGTAAGCCAACCACACAGAATTTTCTGGAAACGAAATCTACGCCATTTTGTTGGTTTGTCGTGTGAAGCACTAGAGCACATTTGTTCAACTAGCCCAAATTGTAACCAGGTAATTTTAAACGTTTTTACTATTCTCAAATTTACCTTTTCGTTATCAATATTTAGATTAGCTTATCAGTATTTTTGTAAATATTTGGGATTCTATAAAAAAGGGGCAATTTGACCTCCACGAGGCCATGTGCAGACTCATTAATCGTTTAAGGGTCATTAATGGGCTTATTAATTAAGGGGTTTTTGTTTAAAATAACCTACAGGTTTCAGGGGATTTTGCTATTTAATTCCAATCATTTATATACTATTTGAGGGTTGGGATTTTTCATTTTTTTATAAGTATGAAGGAGTTCTAAGGCTTTTGTACTCTTTCAGGGTTTTTAGGATTGTTTTAGAATCTTTACCATTGGGTTTTCCTTGTTGACGGTTTACTAGTCTCGAAGTTGAGATGCCAAGAGTACCCACAACCCTGAATTGAAACTGAGATTCACATTTTTAAGAAGGGAAGTCAATGTAAGTTATTGGGTCTGTTATCAGGGCTGCGAAGCTGTCAAGAATGTAAATGGGTGTTTAAACTGCAGGGAGGACAACAAGGGGGTGATGTACCCGTTGATTCATTAACATTTCTTAAATTATTTTATTATTATTATTGATGGTATTTCTGATACTTAATTGGTATATTTCCAAGGTTGTTTTACTGCCTTAATCATTACAAGGGTGTACAGTACCAATGATTTTCAA